CTCGATGGTTTAAGGGTGATTTTTGGCTGCTATTGGGAGATCTCTTGATCGATGATCCAAGTCAAGTGAAGAGGGTTCTGAACCGTTTCTTGTGCTCTCTCTGGACGGCGATTTGCATAGCATGGATGTTAAGGGATATTTATCCCACATCGATAAATGATGATGACACAGTCCAATTAATAAAGATCTTGAGCTACTCCTCCTAATAAGGTTGACCTTTTAAGATGGACCCCCAAATTTTAATAAGAAATAATATGACAAAAGACTAGACTATATACAGAAGTGTTTATTTAATTGAAAGCATAAACAATCAGCAGTAAATATCATCCAGTACCAGCAGCATTTGGCCCAGAAAAGCAGCATCGCACTCGACTCCTGACTTCAATTCGACCAATCCAATTAAGTAGCCTCCTTCAGGTGATCATTCCCCTTAGTGGCTGCTGTTAAAGGATATATATCTCATATCGATAAATGATGCTGACACAGACCAATTAATAAAGATATTTGACTACTCCTCTTAAAAATGTTGATCTTTTAAGATGGAACATCAATTCTTAATCCCTCTAACATGATAGATAAAACAGTAAAACTTACATATTTAGATGGAACATCAATTCTTAACATTTTATCAAAGCACATTATGCTCCAACGAGCTATTCGATCCCGATAAGACTCTAAAATGAGCACGTGGATTTCAAGATTGGTCTGCTCAAATGAGTCACCATCTTGCGGGGGCGTATTAAGGGATATATATCCAACATCGATAAATGATGTTGACACATACCAATTAATAAAGATATTGGGCTACTTCTCTTAAAAAAGGTTAACCTTTTAAGATGGAACTTCAATTTTTAACAGCTGCATCAATCTCCCAACGAAACTAAGCTTTCAGTGTAAAATACAACTTTTGTTCCCTTCGCCAAACCTTCAATCTTCATCTCAGAATCAACTGGAAGAGGAATTTGCATACTTTTTGCTTTGAGATCGTATGGGACTATAGTGTCCCCTTCGTTCTCATTTACAAAAAGAACCCAATTATTCTTCAAAATCCCTATTGGTGTCAACAATCCAACAGAAGATTGCTTGGTCCAAGTAACTGCCATGCCATGTCTATCCAATGTCCACAGTTCATGTTTCAGTTTCATTTTGTAAGGAAAAGAACACAGCCAATGAACCATTGTACTCATTGAAATTAGTACTTGTTCTAACATCTCCCTCCATAGGTGGAAAAACTATTTTAGGCAAGAAAATCACCATAATTGCTCGTTGCTAATGTCAAAACAAACAATAAACAACCTTGCCCACCAATAGTAAGTTCCATTCACATAGGCTGTCATAATAACTGAAAGAGTAATAAACACGAGTCGGCACAGCAACATTGATTTTTCTCCAAGAATTTGTACTCAAGGTATAAAACATAAACATGATATTCATCACCTCCATCTTTATAATCTCTCCACAGCATTTTGACCACCTTATAATCTCAAGTTTTCCGATCAAAACCAAACCCGTATAGTGCCTTATTGGGTTGGTAAACAAGTTCTCTTGGACGACGAATGGGGCGTTTTGGTATATCTCTTGGAGTATTGCATCACACATTGATAGCGTGGAATTAAAAAGAAAAGAAGAAAAAGCAAAAATAGAAGAAAAGCCAGCTGGGAAGAAGAGTTAGTTAAATTAGGAGTTAGTTAAATTCTGTTATTTTCTGTTATTTAGTTAATTAGTTGTTAGGACGAGTTATAAATATAGCTGAGGTCTGCTGTAATTCGATGATTAATTTTAAAATACAATTCAATACAAGTGCGTTTCCTCTCCAAATTCTTTCTTTCTTTTCTGCTATATTCGAAAATCTATTTGATTCTCAACATGGTATCAGAGCTTCATGATCATAGTAGATGATTTTACAAGGTGTACTTGGGTATACATGATGAAAGCAAAATCAGAAGTATCACCCTTAATCAGAACCTTTTGCAAAATGGTAGAAAACCAATATTCTATCTCTATCAAAATCATAAGGTCTGATAATAGTCCAAAATTCTTTCTCACCGAGTTTCACAATGAACATGGCATTCTACATCAAAAAAGTTGCGTAGAAACTTCACAACAAAATGGAGTTGTGGAAAGAAAACACCAGCATCTATTGAGTACAGTTAGAGCACAAATGTTCCAAGCAAATCTGCCCTAAGTTTTTGGAGCGACTGTGTACTCATTGTAACACATATTATTAATAGAATTCCTACACCTCTTCTCCAAAACAAAACCCCATTAAATTTTAATGCGGATCAAACAGGAGCTTGATGAAAAAATAGGGCTCAAACAAGGGCTAGGTCTCGTTTTTGAGTTAAGCCATTTTACCCATCTATTTGATAAATATAGTGTTGACAATAGATGATTGAAGAAAAAAAATTGGCTATTTTTTAAACCAAAGACAAAAAGCTATAGCATTATGTCTGGGAAATTAGCAAAATATTCTGACCGTGTGACATGATTGCTCATTTTTTTACCTCACTATTTTTGGGCCATGATTATGCTACTTTAGCATCAGTGATGGTTGGGTAAAAATAGTACTTCTCATCCATATATTTACTCTTGTCTATTTCAAATTATAAGACACTTATCTTGTTGAGAATCTAGTTGATTTTTTTTAATATACTCCTATTTGATATGTCTTGTTATCAACAAAAAATGTAATAAAAAACTATATTTTCAACTATATCAATTATATTTTAAAATTGTATGAAAATAAAAGTAAACCCATCTTTTGGGACGAATGAAGAACCTACCAATGTGATTATGCGGGCATCACTAATTTGAAAAATTTTACATGTTTCAGATTTTGTGAAAATCAGGTTTTTACTATCAATATAATCTTAGTCTAGGTTTGTTTTCCATTTCTTAAAATTTACATTTTTCTTAAAATTCACTTTCAACTATATGTTTCATATAATTTACAACTTCTATTAACTTATCAACTACACATTTCATCAATTTTTATTATGGGAAATTATAAAAACTCAGG